TTTATTTTTTTGGGCTCCAAAATCACTGCAGATTGTGATTGCAGCCATGAAATTAAAAGACGCTTACTCCTTGGAAGGAAAGTTATGACCAACCTAGATAGCATATTAAAAAGCAGAGACATCACTTTGCCTACAAAGGTCCATCTAATTAAGGCTATGGTTTTTCCAGTAGTCATGTATGGATGTGAGAGTTGGACTATGAAGAAAGCTGAGCGGCGAAGAATTGATGCTTTTCAACTATGGTGTTGGAGAAGACACTTGAGAGTCCCTTGGACTGCAAGGAGATCCAACCAGTCCATCCTGAAGGAGATCAGTCCTGGGTGTTCATTGGAAGGACTGATGCTGAAGCTGAAACTCCAATACTTTGACCACCTCATGCGAAGAGTTGACTCATTGGAAAATACCCTGATGCTGGGAGGGATTGGGGACAGGAGGAGAAGGGGACGACAGAGGATGAGATGGCTGGACAGCATCACTGACTCGATGGACATGAGTTTGAGTAAACTCCGGGAGTTGGTGATGGACAGGGACGCCTGGCATGCTGCAATTCATGGGGTCGCGAAGAGTCGGACATGACTGAGTGACTCAACTGAGCTGAACTGAACTGAACTGAGGGAGTTGTAAAGGGTGGGGGGATAGTCTATAAATATTTGTGTTTGAACTGACCTGGTTAAAATAATGAGGAAGGTGCTAAAGGACAATGTACTAGTCTAGAACGGTAGTTCTCAAACTTTTTGAACAAGGCTTGTGAGTTGGGGCAAGAAACTCTCATAACTTCTTCCCCCATCCCACATCTTCTCTAGTGACCCTGTGATCTTGGGCAAACTATTTAACTTCTATAAGCCCCTGTTTCCAGCAGGGAAAATGAGAGTGAATAGGTGCTTTGAAAGAACACTAGGGGAATTCCAGTGGTTAGGACTCCACACTTCCCCTGCAGGGGCGCCTGGGTTTAATCCCTGCTCTAGGAACTGAGGTCCTGCGTGCTACATGGCATGGCCAAAAAAAAAAAAAAAAAGTACTTAGAACAGGAAGGTGTGGACTCCCAATCCAGAGCTCTTTCACAGCTCTCTCCCACTGAACTTTATCTTAATTTTTGCCTTGTGAAATTCTACTCTCTAGAAGGAAAGCTGTAGTTTCTTTTCAACAAGAAGAATAAAGAATGCCCAAATTACCATATTATCCTCATTGTTTCAGTGTTACCCTGAGTATCTCCACATTATTTGTATGTTTAAAAAGGATTTATTCTGGGATTAACAGATGCACACTACTATACATAAAATAGGTAACAATTACCTACTATATGGCACGAGAAACTATATTCAATAACTTGTAATAATCCATAATGAAAAAAAACCTGAAAAAGAATGTGTGTGTGTGTGTGTGTGTGTGTGTGTGTGTGTATGCATGTATACATGTATATAACTGAATCACTTTGCTGTGCTCCAATTTAAAAATTAAGACTTTTTTTTAAAAAGAAGTTAGGTTTCTGAACAAACATTTTTCTGTCTTGTGTTTTTGTTTCACCATCTCATATTTATTTTTAGTTTCTCATTTTCTTGTATAGTTATGCTTATAAAACCAAAAACCTGACACCTTAATATCAGCATTATTCTGACTCAGGTCAACAAATCTGCTTTATCTTCCTTTATCTCCATGTTTTGGGTCTGTGCCTATGTGACTCTCTCTTCTCTACAGTGTAAGTGAAAGAGTGAAAGACGAAAGCATTCTTAAATCTTTCTTAAGTCTTTTAGAACCTATCGTTAGCATGTCCCATTGAAATTATGGCAGTTTTACTATTTTATTGGTACGATGTTGAATGCAGGTGACCAGGGTTCGATCCCTGGGTCAGTAAGTTCCCCTGGAGAAGGAAATGCCAACCCACTCCAGTGTTCTTGCCTGGGAAATCCCATGGACAGAGGAGACTGGCAGGCTACAGTCCATAGGGTTGTGAAGAGTCAAACACAACTCAGCGACTAACACAAAGATGTTGACAGTATTTCACCGTGTTAAATAGCAGAAATACTGCATTAATTCTCTGTCTAGAAAGCCAGTGCATCATTGTAGCCCAAAGTTGCCTTGTGTTTTAAGTATAATCAAAGAGATGCAGACTTACTGGAACAAATCCTTTCTGACAAAAGCTAGAGGTGAAATTGTCAGGTCTGAAAATGAGTCTTTTCATCAGAGGGTGTGCACTAGATTTGACTAGAGGAAAGCACTGTGGCCCCTAGGCCTTTTCACAGGGGAAACCTACCCTGGATTCCGTGCTTGGAGAATAGCACAAGGGCTCTCCACCAGCTGCACATCCCTCACAGGGTGAGGAGTGTGCAAGGCGAGGAATTGTCCCCCTGGATTTGAGGCTCTTTCCTTAATCACTGCACTCCGGGTATCTGGAGCCCCAGAATTCCCTGCACAAATGACCCCAAATCCACTTCTACCTATGAAATTGTTGTTTAGTCACTAAGTTGTTTCTGACTCTTTGGGACCCCATTGACTATAGCCCACCAGGCACCCCCGTCCATGGGATTTCCCAAGCAAAAATACTGGAGTGAGTAGCCATTGCCTTTTCTGGGGGATCTTCCCAATCCAGATATCAAACCCACGTCTCCTGCATTGGCAGGCAATTCTTGACCACTGAGCCACCTGGGAAGCGTATCCAAGGAGTGGCCAAGGCTAGTTACGGGGACAGCAAGTAGATAAGCTTGAACGTATGGGCTAGTGTCCCCACATCCACACAAGGTCAGACAGCGGGGCTGAGAAGAGCAGGGTTCAGGCCACTGACAGTCTGGGGGTGCAGCTCTCATCCCCCTGCCTTCTTCCCGCATGGAAGTCTGAGGAGTTCACGAATCCTAAATTTGAACCTAGCCTTCTAAAGGGGCATTATGAAGGTACATTTCAGGGTACAGCATAGAACTTATTTTATTTAACAGCTATTTGTCTGATTTATAACTTTCATGTGTTTAGACCTGGAGGTCTCATCGCATATTGTAATTTAGTCGCTAAGTCGTGTCTGACTCTTGTGACTCCGTGAACTGTAGCCTGCTGGGCTTCTCTGTCCATGGGATTCTCCAGGCAAGAATACTGGAGTGGGTTGCCATTTCCTCCTCCAGGGGATCTTCTCGACCCAGGGATCGAACCTGGGTCTCCTGAATTACAGGTAGATTCTTTACCCACTGAGTTACAGGGGAAGCCCTCATCACATACTGGTTGGCCAAAAATCTGTTGCAGTTTTTCTATAACACCTTATGGAAAATCCTGAACGAATTCTGTGGCCCACCCAATATTACCACTCTGGGTCACAGGAAGAGTCTAGAGGATGGGATAAGGAGATCACCTGAACCTTTCATTTCTTATGGGTGAGAGCCTTGCTCCTTTGACCCTTCATCAATCTAGCATTGGATTAGGCCTTCTGGTATAACTCTGAGATGGTACCCTTGGCCATGATCTTGTCTAAGTTTTGCTGTGGCCACGATACACTCTTAAGATTATGTGCATGCTGAGCTACCATGGTAGCAGGTAGAAAGATGTAGTGACCAGGGTCTTTGGGGACCAAGCAAAAAGGGAAGAAGAGAATTGGATGAAACTGTGGCCAAAATGGTTTCTTAGGATTCTGTGTGAATTTTAGTTTTCTGCTAACCATTGATTATTCGATGTAGGGCCTTCACATGCTAAGGTCTGAAGTAAATCTTTGCCTACTTAAATATTTTTAGGTTAAAAAAAGCATAATTAGAATAATAAGATGCTTTGTTATTGTCCTTGTTCAGTCGCTAAGTCGTGTCCAACTCTTTGTGACCCCACAGACTGCAGCACGCCAGCCTCCTCTGACCTCCAGTACCATCCAGAGTTTGCTCAGATTCATGTCCATTGAATCAGTGACGCTATCTAACTATCTCATCTTCTGCCACCCCCTTCTCTTTTTGCTTTCAGTCGTTCCCAGCATGAGGGTCTTTTCTAATGAGTCGACTCTTCACATGGCCAAATATGCTTTATTAGGATTAATTCCTAATACATCTCTGCGAATGCTGTTTCATAAAAAAGAGGAAATTATGAAACAAATCAGTGTCATTAGTCTACTCTGGTGTTCTGTTTACATTCAAAGGAGAATTTTCCAGTGAAAATATTCATGCTTTCAGAACTTCTATTAAGATCTTCTAATCCAATGGTATTATTTTGCTCTGTATGCATATATTTCCTGAGCTTAGCATATAAATTTCAGATATTTCCAGTATTTATAGAAATACTTGATTCCTTTTATTTGTATTTTAGTACAAAACCTGGCATCTTCAGTATTTCCTTTAAATTTTTCCAGATAATCAGAGCTTATACCCTTATTAACCTTTTTATTTTTGCTTTAATCATATTTTGACTGTTGAAATGTCCTATAATTTATATACATATAAATTTTGTTTGTGTATATATAACACACATACAGAGACACAAGAATGTATATTTTCCTGGCTTTATCAAAGAAATGTTTATAAGTTATTGAATAATGCTGGTATTGTTAAACTTTAAATGCTTGAGTTTCAGGACTTTGCCATTCTATAAGAAAAGAATTTAAAATGAGCTTTGATGGTTATTAACTATTTTTCACATCTACAGTTTAACTGTATAGCTATTGATAAAGGCATAAAGGATGAAATTCTTTTAAAAAGTAAATTTAGGAAGAAAAAAACTAGGCTTTCATTTCTTAGACTGTAATGGTTTTAACATGCTATAATAACAGACATGAGCAAATAACACTCATTTTATAGAGCTGTTTTTTCAAATTACAAAAGTATTTACAGGTTTTAGGAAATGGATATGTCAGGAAGTAAAATGGAAAAAAACAAACACTATAAGATTTTCAAAATAGCGACGAATTTCTTTTAATGTCATAGGCCTGTTAGTGAAACTCCAGCTCACTAAAGAGCAAAAGCTGAATCTGTGCTTTCGAGTAGTGGGTCTGAGAGTACTTCTTATCTGATTTATTCGTCACTAAGAGAAAATGAACTTCTTTCTAGGTTTGTTCTACAGAAAGTGCCAGTTAGTTTCCAAGGAAAACGTGACTCATGATACGAAGCTCTTCTGCTTAATGCTGCCACCCAGCGCACATCTTCAGGTGCCAGTTGGGCAGCACGTTTACCTCAAGCTGCCTATTACAGGTGAGGCTTTGCAGAAACATTTTCTTCCGTAAGGAGTTTGTCATCAGTACTAATGTAAGCACCCATGTAGGTTATTAGTGAAACGTTTCTGGGCAGCTGGTCTTTGTGATAGCCCGATTCTGGTTTTGTGGAGGCAGGGTGCCTGCAAGTGGGAACTCTAGCTATGCGGCATCACTGTGCGGAGCAAAGAAATTGTCACTCATCACAGGGACAGCGCCACCAGCATTGTAATTTACTACTTTTGTTGTTCAGTTGCTAAGTTGTCTCCAACTCTGCAACCTACCAGGTTCCTCTGTCCTTGGGATTCCCAGGCAAGAATACTAGAGTGGGTTGCCGTTACCTTCCACAGGGAATCTTCCCGGCCCAGGGATCAAACCTGTTTTTCCTGCATTGGCAGGCGGATTCTTTACCACTGAGCCACCAGGGAATCTGTTATTAACAAAGCCTTAAAGAAGTTACAGAGCACACAGTCTTCTGTGAAGACAGCTACCAGAAACATATCCTAGCAACTCTTATTAGCCACTTTTAAGTTCAGGGTCATTTATGAAGTTGAATTCATAAAGCTGAAAATGAGTGGACGATTATAGATGATTGCCTTGCATGTGCCACCAGTATAAGACGCTCTTGTAAATGTATTCCTTACTGTATAAATTCTCTTTCCCTTATTTTCACCCCCAAATTACCTCGTTTACTTGTTTTAAATACCCTTCCAGCTGTTGTCTAATATCTTCTTAACCTGTTGAAGCTGCAAAAGGTAACATTCCCATGTCAGTCCTAGTGTTTCCAGCAAGTAGCTTCACAGACTACCAGCCAGGATTTGATAAATATAGTGTATGATACATACTGTTAAGTTTTTCTCTTCATCATCACTAATGCCAAGTTATTCAATAACTGATATCTTCCCCAGTGTATTTATTGTCAAAGTATTGTATATAATTTACACATAGTTAATTTCATATATGTGAAGGAGCCATGTATAAAATTCTGGTCTTTCAAATGTGTTGACTCCTCTCTAGATTTTGGCCAGCTAAAATATAACACGGCTTCTTATTAATTTTACCCTATTTTTTATTGTTATATTCTTAGTAGTAGTTGGATTAGTGTTCTTTTCAACTATCAAAGTAATACATAAAATGATAAATTGTTAAAATAATTCAAAAATACAAAGTAAAAAGTGAAATTTATGCCTTCCTGGAACCCAAATGATCCCATTGGTCATCGGTTTTCATTGTTAAAAATTTGGTATATAATTAAAATTATTCTGTAAGTATCTCCTTGTATCTGTGTGTAAACTTCTGATGCCATTTTTGTTGTGGCCTATTACAAAGCTTGTATGCTGATGGCATAGAAGGTTATTTTAAGTTTATTAACATAAAATCCTATCATTTTATGCCACACTTAGTAAAAAACAGATTATTTACATTATGGTGAATTACTGATTTGTTAAAATTATTTCAACACACATTGACTTGGAGTATATAGACATGTGCTATATACATATAGAATATAGTTAGAACTGTATTCACATTAAAGGTACAGTTTTAAATATATACTGATAGCATCATAACATTTTTATGTTTCGTCTTCATTTGTTTAGATTTTTAGAATTGAATTTCTTTGTTTTGACTTTCTCCAGGTACTGAAATTGTGAAGCCATATACACCTGTATCTGATTCCTTATTCTCAGAGTTCAAGGAACCAGTTCTTCCCAACAATATATACATCTACTTTTTGATCAAAATCTACCCTGCTGGATTCTTCACACCGGAGCTTGATCAGCTTCAGATTGGTTAGTATTTTTTTTTTAATTTAGATTTTGTTCTAGATTGGATCACATATGATACTCTNTTTCACTTTCATCAAGAGGCTCTTTAGTTCCTCTCTGCTTTCTGCCATAAGGGTGGTATCATCTGCATATCTGAGGTTATTGATGTTTCTCCCTGTAGTCTTGATTCTAGCTTGTGCTTCATCTAATCAAAGATTCACGTGATGTACCCTGCATATAAGTTAAATAAGCAGGGTGACAATATACAGCCTTGATGTACTTACTACTTGCCCAATTTGGAACCAGTCTGTTGTTTCCTGTCCAGTTCTAACTCTTGCTTCTTGAACTGCATACAGATTTCTCAGGAGGTAGGTAAGGTTGTCTGGTATTCTCTTGAAAAATTTTCCACATAGTCAAAGGCTTTAGCATAGTCAGTGAAGCAAAAGTAGATGTTTTTCTGGAATTCTCTTGCTTTTTCTATGATCCAATGGATATTGGTAATTTGATCTCTGCTTCTTCTGCCTTTTCTTCATCCAGCCTGAACATGTCGAAGTTCTCAGTTCACATACTGTTGAAGCCTAGCTTGGAGAATTTTGAGCATTACTTTGCTAGCTAGCATGTGAAATGAGTGTAATTGTGCGGTGGTTTGAACATTCTTTGGCATTGCCTTTCTTTGTTATTAGAATGAAAACTTGACCTTTTCCAGTCCTGTGGCCACTGCTGAGTTTTCCAAATTTGCTGACATATTGAGTATAGCACTTTCATAGCATCATCTTTTAGGATTTGAAAAAGCTCAGCTGTAATTCCATCACCTCCACTAGTTTTGTTCGTAGTGATTAGTTCATAGTTGCTAAGGCCCACTTGACTTCACACTCCAGGATGTCTGGCTCTAGGTGAGTGATCACAGCATTGTGGTTTATCTGGGTCATTAAGATCTTTTTTGTGTAGTTCTTCTGTGTATTCTTGACACTTCTTCTTGATATCTCCTATTAGGTCCATACTGTTTCTCTGTCTTACTGTGCCCATCTTTACTTGAAATGTTCCTTTGGTGCCTCTAATTTTCTTGAAAAGATCTCTAGTCTTTCCCATTCTATTGTTTTCTATTTGTTTGCATTGATCACTTAGGAAGGCTTTCTTATCTCTCCTTGCTAATTCTTTGGAACTCAGCATTGAGATGGATATATCTTTCCTTTTCTCCTTTGCCTTCACTTCTCTTCTTGTCTAAGGCCTCCTCAGACAACGATTGCCTTCCTCCCAGTCCGGTCAGTGGCTAAGTTCTGATGAGTCTACCTCCCAGTGGCTTTTTAATCTGTCTTTTCCATCCTTTCTGCCACCTCTTAGATCAATCCTTCATCACCTCTCTCTTGATCTGTAACTGGTCTCTTCTCAGTTGCCTCTAACTGGTATCTTACTGTTAAGCTGCATTTTCCAGTTCTTTATCCATATCTGCCCTGATAATCAGTTTAATCATGTTGCTCTGCAGCTTTGATACCTTGGGTGGGTCTCCATTACCTAACTGATTACACCCTTTCCGTGGCCTATGAAGACCTTGTTAAACTCTCCCGCTTCACCTCTCACTACACAGAACACTTGTGCTACTCAGGCTCCGCAAGTTTGTCATCCTCATTCATGGCTACATGAGGTTTGTAGGATGCCCACTGACCCTCTTTCTACCTGTCAAGTACCTTTGTTTTAGTATTTTTTAAAAATATCACTTCCTTTTTGAAACGTCCCTCCTCTTCTGAAGCCCTCAGTGACTAAGTAACCCCTCAGTAACTGTGAACTTTGTTCATAGCTCTAGGATAAGAATACATAATATTTCTTATTTACAGGACTTTGAGTTTAAGGGTATAGATTGTTTTATCTTTGTATTTCCCATACCTAGCAGAGCAGTTGGCACATAATGGGCTCTCAATAAAAGTACTCTGAAAGAATTAATAAAGGGACTATAATGAAATCTACCAATATTTAGATATTCCCTCCCTTACTGTTTTACTCCTTTTTCTGTGTCTTCAACTTTTCACTGCCTTTTGCCTAATAATAAATGTGCCCTTCCCCCTTTAAGACCACATTAGTAGTTATATCAAGTGGAATAGATTGTTGAAATTTGGAAATAGAAAAAATTTATTGCTATCTGAAAGTTAAGCTCAGCAGTTAACATGTAACAGATGTGATGAGGCATCTTTGGTTACATAAATCAGAATATTGAACATAAATGTGAACCTATAGAATTTTGGAATACCTGCAGATCTGATGAAGGTGATACCACCTCGTGAAGGACTGACAGCACAATTGTAATATAGAAGGTGGAAACTTAACCAGTGGTATTATAACCTATCTGTAGACATTGTGTATCAGAGAACAGGGTGGAGAGTCAGCCTACAGCATGCAAAAGGAAAGCTGAAATAGTAAGGTCAGTGTTTTTTCAACTTCATCTAGAGGAGCTCTCATGGCACAGACACTGGTGCCCCTTAGAGGGTTGTATACTGGCGTGACCATGATAACTCATGAAACTCCGTTATGATCTATAGGGGCTACCTTATCAAACTATCCACTTTGTTTCAATTCTGTGTTCATCAAGCAATTTTATATGATTATTTTGGCCTTCCAAATGGTCCAGTTTTTTATCCTCCTGCCCTGGGAATGAGACGCCCTGGATGGAGCTCAGATCACTAGATGCAGGTAGTCTGGCTGAAAATCTGTTGCCATTCTGGCAGGTGTGCTTCAATCTCTTGTGAATTAGAGTAGTATTAGGTCCTTGCCTTCGGAGAAGGCAATGGCACCCCACTCCAGTACTCTTGCCTGGAAAATCCCATGGATGGAGGAGCCTGGTAGGCTGCAGTCCATGGGATCGCTAAGAGTCGGACAGGACTAAGCGACTTCACTTCCACTTTTCACTTTCACTCATTGGAGAAGGAAATGGCAACCCACTCCAGGGTTCTTGCCTGGAGAATCCCAGAGACGGGGGAGCCTGGTGGGCTGATGTCTATGGGGTCGCATAGAGTCGGACACGACTGAAGCGACTTAGCAGCAGCAGCAGCAGGTCCTTGCCTGAGTCTAATCAATTTTATGACATTGGAGAGACTGGACTGTGGACAGAAGTTATGAAGATAATATCATTCTGTGAGGCTTCTTTAGTAAACAAACAGCTGACTTTTTCTTGAGGATATTCTGATCTCATGGTTCCTTTCAAATTATAACAGGGAGCTTCTGTTACTTTCTAATGTTTAATTCATCAATTACTACCCAATTCTTACTATCCTGCCATGGACAAGAAAGGGAAAAGAGATGAGCAGCCAAGCATTTAAAAATAAACCAGAGCATTTGAAATTGTTTTTTAAAGTATGGACAGCTTTATTTTTTTATTTTTTATTTTTAATATTACATTGAAAATTTCTGAAATGTCCTAAAGACAGTTCTCTTATCTGAGTGGTGCACAGAGATTATATCAGTTGCATACCAGAAAAGGGTTTATTCAACTATTTTGATTGTAGATTCAGTAGTAGTGCGCCCCAAGTATGGTTTCTGATCACGCTTTGTTTTTATAGGAATTCGGAATGGCTCTTGTTTTATTTTTTTTTTTTTTCAGTTGTGTTTAAAGATATTTTTATTGAAGCATCGTTGGTTTACGTGTTGTGTCAGTCTCTACTGTGCAGAGACTGACCCAGTTACACACAGAGACATTCTGTTTCTAATGTTATTTTCCATCATGGTTTATCACGGGATATTGAATGTAGTTTCCTGTGCTATATGGTAGGACTTTGTTGTTTATTCATCCTATATATATATAATAGTTTACATCTGTTAACCCTGAGCTCCCAGTCCTTCCCTCTCCCACCTCCGCCCCCTTGGCAGCCACAGGTCTGTTCTCCATGTCTGTGAGTCTGTTTCTGTTTTATAGATACGTTCATTTGTGCCATTAGATTCCACATATAACTGACATCTTATGATATTTGTCTTTCTCTTTCTGACTTACGGCAGTTCGTATGATAATCTCTAGTTGCATCCATGTTGCTGCAAATGGCATTATGTCATTCTTTTTTATGGCTGAGTAATACTCAATTGTACATATGTACATTTATCCATTCATCTGTTGCTAGACATTTAGATTATTTCTGTGTCTTGGCTACTGTGAATAGTGCTGCATGTCTCTTTTTGAATGATTGATTTGTCCAGGTATATGTCCAGGCATAGGATTGCTGGCTCATATGGTAATTCTATTTTCAGTTTTCTGAGGAACCTCCACACTGTTTTCCATAGTAGCTGTACCAATTTACATTCCCACCAAATGAGTAGCAGGGTTCCCTTTTCTCTACACCCTTTCCAGCATTTGTTTGTATATTTTTTAATGATGGTCATTCTAACTGGTGTGACGTGGTACCTCATTGTAGTTTTGATTTTCATTTCTCTAATAATTAGTGATGCTGAACATCTCTTCATGTGCCTATTGGCCATCTGTATGTTCTTTGAAGAAATGTCTACTAAGATCTTTCACCTATTTCTCCATTGGGTTGTTTGTTTCTTGTTGTTGTTGAGTTGTATGAGCTCTTTGTATATTTTGGAGATTGAGTCCTTGTCTGTCACATCATTGGCAAATATTTTCTCCCATTCTGTACATTGTCTTTTTTTTTTCCTTTTTAGAGTCTCTTTTGTATGCAAAAGTCTATACGTTTGATTAAGTCCATCCCATTTGTTTATTTTGTTTTTATTTCTTGTCTAGGGAGACTGAGCTAAGAAAACATTAGTACATAAGATAATAATATTTTAAAAATGCATTTTGCTGTGCAAAACCACCTAGACTCAAAAGGCTACAAATTGTACAATTTTACCATTTATATGACATTCTGGGAAAAAGCAAAATTGTAGGAATGGAACAGATAAATAGTTGTGAGGGGTGAGGTGAGGGGTTGAATACAAAGGGGAATTTTTAGGATGATAGAAGCATTCTGTATGCTCTTGAGATGGTGGACACATGACTATGCATTTGTCAAGGACCATGCAGAGTGAATTTTACTATGTGAAAAAAATATAAAACTTTCCCAAGAAAATGCGAGTTCTGCAACTTGTGTTTGGTGATGTCAGGGAATCCCAGATGGAATGCAGAGTGTGACAAATGAATCTGTTTTACAAATGTATGACGTAACCTCAGTGAAGGGAGTAGGGAATGAAATAAACTGAACTAAAAAAATTAAAATAAACTGGGCTAAAGAATTCTCTCAAATCATTAACAGTATCTAGGAGTGATTTTTATTGCTATATATTTGTGTATTTTTGAATGTTCTTTGGTAAGGAAATGTAACTTTTGTAATTAAAAAATTAACAGTAAAAAGATAATAATAACATATTAGAAAGTATTTCTATTTCAATTTTTTTCTCCTACTAGGTTTATTACTATGATTAAGAATCAGTATGTAAGTAGTGAATATATATTCTCCACTCTGTACTATGCAAGACAGGTATACACAGACTCTGCTTTTGAAATACTTAGTTTTATCAATAATTTAGCAATCAAGTCTTTATTGATAATTTGTGGCAGTAGTTTATAAATTAGAGACTCCAGATGGTTTAGGAAAATAATGTTGGGAAATAAGTATAATCAAACCTTATTATTAATTTGATTATAATGAAAATTTGAGTATAATGACATACTTGGGGGCCTAATGAATATTCTTAAAACTGCTTACATTCCTTGAAAACTGAGATGTATTCTGATAATTATGCAACCTGCTTCTCCTAGTGTTCTGTTTGAGTTTTCCTGATTTTTTTTTTTTCTGATTTCATGTATATTTCATTGTGTAGGAGATTATGTTTCTGTAAGCAATCCTGAGGGCAGTTTTATAATATGCCAGCTCCAAGAACTGGAAGATCTGTTTTTATTGGCAGCAGGAACAGGCTTCACACCAATGGTTAAAGTACTGAATTATGCTTTGACTAATATACCCAGTCTCAGGTATGTCATTTTACATTTAATTACTATCCCTTTTGAGGCTGTTAGATTAGTAGAAGGTATTCTAAACCAATTAAAAACTCAGTGGACTTCAATAGACATGTCCTCATCCCTTAGTCATCATTTCTTACTCCTTCTCTCCTCTAAGCTGTTTTATTCATTTGATTCCTTTAGTTTTGATACCTTTGATTACCTAATTGGCGCTGAAAAACATTCATGCTGATTCATGGCTAGAGTTTCCATTCGTGCATATTTTAAATATAATTGAAATAGTACTTTTGAATTGTTGTTTTTTCTTTTAAGGAAAGTGAAGCTGATGTTCTTCAATAAAACAGAGGATGACATAATCTGGAGAAGCCAGTTGGAGAAATTAGCATTTAAGGATAAAAGGTATTAAAGTAGTACTAGCTCTGTGTTTAGATATTTTCATACATGTTCAGTCAGTTGAGACCTTAACCTCTTTCAGTTCAAGTTTTTAGTTGACCAGAAAACTCCTTCTAACAAAAAGTAAACAAATCAGTAATTTTCTTTAAAAAAATTTAAATGTAAGTAATGTTAATACACCTTTCCCAAAGAAATACTATTTGATAAGGTCAATGTGACATCACATATGTATTNCATACATGTTCAGTCAGTTGAGACCTTAACCTCTTTCAGTTCAAGTTTTTAGTTGACCAGAAAACTCCTTCTAACAAAAAGTAAACAAATCAGTAATTTTCTTTAAAAAAATTTAAATGTAAGTAATGTTAATATACCTTTCCCAAAGAAATACTATTTGATAAGGTCAATGTGACATCAAATATGTATTGATAAAATATATAATGGACTTTATAATGAACTTGATTGTTTAAATTAAGAAAAAAAATTTTGTCTGTACCACATTGCTCATGGGATCATGTTCCCCAACAAGGGATCAAACCCACACCCCCCACACTGAGAGCTCAGAGTCCTAACCACTGAACCGCCAGGGAAATTCCTGGGCTTTCTGTTTATATCGTTATTTATAGTGAGTTGGCTTTCTTTGAAAATGATCCAGCGTAGTCAGTTTGGTAATTCAAGATTTTCTAATTATAATGGGGACAAATCAAATCAGTTTGATGAGATGAGTTAAACAAAAATAAACATGTTTGGGACCTCCCAGGTGGTCCAGTGTTTAAGACACCACGCTTCCAGTGCAGGTAGCCTGGGTTCGATCCCTGGTCAGGGAGCTAGGTCCTGCACGGTGCAGCTCAGGATCCCACATTAAATAAAGCCAAATTAAATAAATAAGCAAACATGACTCTCTGCTACAGGATTCCTTAGAGTCTTCACCAGCCAAGCCAGTGCCTGTTGTGACTCTCCAGGAAGGGGGTTAGTTATACATGGTTTAGCAAGATTCTCTTCATTTTTGTCTGCTTACATAAACACATTAAATATCACAAATGATCCTCAGTAGACACTTTGGGAAATGCCAGTGCAGTTCATGGAAAAGAATTTGAAGCAGGCTGAATTCAGTGGTAGAATGAGGCAGCAAGGACAGCAGGGTCACAATTTGTTTCATTGAGAAAGGAGCCCAGGTGTAGTGAAGAAGGTGAGATGGGTTAACGGGCATATGCTCCATCTCCCCTAAAGAGAGGTGCAGCATGACATTCAAAACACATCTTTTAGAAGAAGAGCGAATTGAACAATCTGTCATACATCCTGAAGCATTTTTGTAATTGTTAAAAACTATTTCTAGAATTGCAGAACTTCCTAAGTCACACAAAATACAGCTGATGTAAATGTTTATGTTTTTGCCGGTATAGTATAGATAAAGTTCTCTGTGTTTTCAAACATAAAGACTTCAGGAACTCAGCTGTCCTGGGGCCTCCAGGTGCTTCTGAGTATTTTCCAAACATCTTCCCCAAGGTGATGTCATGGTTCCTCCTCATCTTTTCTCCCTGCTGTCTCCCATCCTCCCCCTCATTCTCTTTTAGTAAGTAATTTGCACAAATTAAGAATAATCTGAACTTAATGATCTTTGAAGTGTTTTCTCTTCTTAATATACTTAAAATATAATCCTAAGAATATTTATTATGTCTGAGTAGTAGCATGGCAATTTAAAGCCTAATTTAAAGAAATATAGATTCCTGGGTTTTTCAAGTGTCTTTTTCACTCAAAGTGGAAAATTGGAAGCAGCGTTTATGAAAAAACCTGAAGACCTAAATTCTGGCTTTCTGTCTACCCTTACTAGCTTGAAACTGTATTCGAAAATTATTTGACTCTGTGGGCCTCTTTATCTTCAAAATAGAATAATGACATTTGTCGTGCTTCCTTCCTAAGGCTATTGTGAGGACTAGAGAAGGCAGTGTAAATGCTTTGAAAACTGTGAAGCCCTGCCTCAGATATTTGCATTGCGGTTAGGGAGGACCTCTGTGGACATGCATTTCATTTCTGTGTTGACTACTTGAGATTCTTTTTCCTAAACAATCATTTAAAAGACTTTAGACAGACGGAGCTATACTTCTGTAGCTAGTTTTTTGTTTTTTCTTTTGTAAGTACTTTTGGCAGTTTGGGGACATGGTATTTTGTAAGATCTTTTCCTTGTACAAGGAAAATTCATTTACTAGTATTTCTGCGAACAGTATTTCTTTGATGTAAGAACTAATTGGTGAAGGGGCTGTGTTGACAGCTTCTGAACACAAGGCATGCTTGAACAACATCCCCTGTGTGTTTTTTCTTGCATGGCCCACATAATTGGGTTGGTGGCATTGTGTAGGCTTGAGGATAAGGAAAGCCCCCTTTTCCCCACTTCTGGATGAGTGTTCTAACAGCACTCATCAGGTGAGTGAGACGCCCCAGTTTGCTGGGAGAAGTGAGAGTGTTTTGACTGCCAGCCCACCTTTATCCTCTCTCTTCTGCTCCCGCTCCTGGGCGTTCTCTGCTCCTGCCTTCTCTTCCGCCTTCTGGAGACACACTCGCCTTGCTGGAGGCCTGCTGCTGGCACTGACCTCCAGCCCTGGCTGATCTGTGTCCTCTGGAGACTCATGGTCAGACCCTCACTGGAAAACACGTGGCTTCGTATGGGTAGGTGGCTTTGGAACATTTATCAGGAACCTTCCATATTCTGAGACTGATGCAGATGGAGGAGAAACCTGGCCTTAAAGGCTTACCGATGGGTTTTGGTAGTAGTGTTCATTCAAGATATATAATTGTTGAGTCCCATACATAGAAGGGAAGTAAAAGCTTAAATTTACTGTAAGGTAGTTTTAATTGGTCACATCTATCATTTAGTTGGGCTTCCAGTGGGAAAGAATCTGCCTGCCAGCAGAGAAGGAAACGGCAACCCACTCAGTACTCTTGCCTGGGAAATCCCATGGACAAAGGAGCCTGGTGGGCTACAGTCATAAACATCATTTAGTTAACATTTAAGGCTTTTTTTTCTGTTAAGTCACCCTTTCCTACATCTTGACTCTCCTGTGTCACTTCGCATTTTACCAATACATTTCTGATGACAAAATGTGACACTTGAACACATCATCTTGGTTAGATTATTATTGGATTGTGGCAATAAAAACATGTGTATTTAAATGAAATACCCTGTTCTCTGTAGGATTAGGACAGTTTTCTAATCAGTCCTTTGTGGAAAAAGGAGGAATAGGAAAAATGAATGCTGAGACTGGTGTGTAATCTAGTATTTTCATTTTCAACAAGCGTGTTTATCCAAATAATGTGGTTGGCAAGGGAAATTCTTTGAAACATAATTGTGTAATGGAAACTTATTAACCTTGTGACCTTGGGCAAGTTACTTGATCTGATGGAGCTTCATTTTTTCCATCTGTGAAAAGGGACATCAATATCTGCATCATAGGATTGTTTGCATATGAGGGCAGTGGAATGGCAGAGTAGGTGCTGGGCCCAGAATTAGTATATTTGTAACATCCATTCATTCGTGAAAAACTTGTGAGCGTCAGCCATGTGCCTGTTCCCCAGGGTTATGATAGGAAACAGTATTTTCTCAAGCAATCCATCTTCCCACGTTGCTAAATTTACTAGAACCACAGAAAATAGGAAGACCATAAGTGTTCTTTTAGGATGTTTCTGTTTCAGTTCAGTTTTCATGTCATTAAGCCTTAAATGTGAGTGGGGAAAGAAAGCTTGCCTGAATTTTATCCGAATATACTATTACACTTGACCATTAACTCCCGTAATTGGAATTTGGTTCACAACATTCCAAGTCTAGGGAAGTCTCCCACATATACGTTCCTAAAGAAAAATGAGAGAGAAACAGAACATAAATATGTACAGCAACAGCTGTAGCTAGTTATTATGTAAACTGCGATCCAAATTAAATTTCTCGTATTTTTGTCTTTTACTGAGCAGTGTTATGAGGCCTGCTTGGCTCAGTATTATGCATTGGTACTTCCCTCGCCCCTCAGTAGAACGCACCTACTCTGAGTTCTCTGCTTTTGCAGAATTAGTTTTCAGGGGAAGGACAGTTTTACAATGAGATTGACTTCTGGGTGGCATTGATGATTTGTTGATTTCTCCGTTTATAGAATTAATATGAATTTATATAGAAAAATTATACGGGGAAAAATCATCTATAGTCTTACCATCCAAGCAACAATAATGGTCTGTATCTTTCCATTTTCTTTCTCTTTCTCCCCTTTTCCTCCCGCCCACCCACATATACTTATATACATGTATTATTTGTTTTCTTTTGTATTTTTTAAATAATGTAGTCCTACTGACTATACTTTTTATAACCACATTTTCTCTTTAGTGTATTGTGTGTGTTCTATGTATAGAATACTTTAAATCTAACTCTTGACCTTGAGTGAGTCTACACCCTAGGGGGCATTTATGTCTGGAAACAGTTTTGATTAACAACTAATGAAAGGGGTTCCCCTGGCACCTAGTGGGTAGAGGCCAAGAATGCTGTTAAGAGCCTACAGTGCACAGAACAACACAAGATGACAGAAAATTATTCTGCCCAAAATGCCAGTAGTGCTAGTTGGGAAAGCCTGCACTATGCCATGGTTTTTAATAGCTGCATTGTATTTGGTCATTGAGTTCATTGTTTTTCAGTCACTTGATCGTGTCTGACTCTTTGCTACCCCGTGGACTGCAGCACGCCAGGCTTCCCTGTCCACCACAAACTCTCAGAGCTTACTCAAACTCATGTCCATTAAGTTGGTAATGCCATCCAACCATTTCATCCTCTGTCATTCCCTTCACTTACCTTCAATCTTTCCCAGATTCAGGGACTTTTCCAATGAGTCAGTTCTTTGCATCAGGTGGCCAAGGTATTGGAGCTTCAGCATCAGCCCTTCCAATGAATATTCAGGATTGATTTCCTTTAGGGATGACTGGTTTGATCTCCTTGCAGTCCAAGGGACTCTCAAGAGTCTTCTCCAACACCACAGTTC